AGATTCCGGTTTTAGAAAACAGGAACATAAAATATAATAACTTTTGTATAAAGACTTTCTTTTACTATAGTGAAAATCAAAGATTAGGTTTTTTGGTTTTTTTTCCTGGCTTTTATGGAGGAATGAAAAGAATTATCTCCCTCTACGAATAGTTTTTGATTACCTCATAGCAATAATGTCACCATTATTATCAGGGGGTAAATATGCCTTGTATATAGGAAAACAGACATAATTTCATCTTGGGAGTTACCTTTATAACATAGCATTTTCTTCCACTTGAGAAAGTTCCTATATTTTCAGATTATTTCATCTTGAATTTTTTGAGCTTTTGTGCAATGTAATATTTTATTGATCCATCTTTGTACATTTTATTTCATAATGTCTTTTTCCCACCTACCTGTTTAAAACAGCTATAGCAGATTTTGAATTAGTTAAAAAATATTTGTTTTATATGTTTCCCTCATGGGTTTATGTTAAGTAGTTTTGCATTTTAATCCTCCATTATGCTATGGAAACTATTCTGAAGTTTATATTCTTCCCTTTTTAAGCCTGCCTTACTCTTCTTTGTCATTTTCTATGGTTTAAGGAAGAAGACACCAAACTTAATATTTTTGTTTGAGGAACAAAAGAACTTTTTTTCTCTTCTCTTTTAGGGAAGAACTGTATTGAGTTAGTAACTACTCTTTCAGTCAAGGTTCCTTAAATCAGTCCAGTGTGCATCAGGGCTACAACTTTGGGAGAGGGGCTAATCCTTTTTGCTGTTCTGAGCTACTATTGTCAACTGCTGTTGTACATACTGTTATGTGTAAGGGCGTAAATATATTTATTATGTTTGTAAAATTCATTCTGTACAATTGCAGATCAAGGTTGCTCTTCTGTGATATACGGGATATTATGTTTTAAAGACCATCTTGGAATACAATTAGAGAACTTAGTATTTTGATGTACTAAGACCTATTTTAAGTTTAATATTTTACCTTTGCAAAAACTTTAATTAAAGATGTTATTTAAAAAAAAGTAATGTTGCTTGCTTTGCTTACTAGTATATGACATTGTTACAGATAATTGAATAAAATTATACAATATAGAAAGGAAAATGCTTTACATTGTTAATGAGAATAAGTTCCATTTAACAACAACAACAGCAACAAAAAGGTATTAAATTCTGTACCTGTAAGATAAGTAGTTTGGGATGTCAGTGTGAATTATTCAGCTGTGTTACTAATTCTTAATAATAGCTTTTAAAAAGTTGTATTTTCTAGGCACACAGGA